GGGAAGAGGAGGCTTCCTGTCTCCCACAGGTGGGGCACCAGGTGGCAAGAGGCTTACTTACCCCGGACAGTCAGGCTGACCCTTCCCTGGGCCTGGCTAGAGGGACTCCTGGCCCGACACACGTAGATTCCCTGACACTCTGGGTTCAGCTTCTCGATCCTGGAGGGAAGCAGCCGCTCGCTGAATCCCTGAACTCGTTGCCCCAGTCTGCAGATGCCCAGTGCCCCTCCTCCTCCTATCCCCCCCGTGCCATGCCACGCCGTGGCCCTCATCTGCCCGGCTCACCGCAGCACTCCATTGCGGATGGTGTGAGTGGGAGGCAGCTCTCCGCCCTCTTTCAGCCACTCGATTTGCGCCCTGGGGTCCCCGGACACGGAGCACACAAACTCTGCTGTGGCGCCCACGGCTTTGGTGTCGCTCGGAGGGGTGATCTGGACAGAGAGGGGTCCTCCAGCAGTGGCTGTATTGGGGACAAGGAAGAGGAGACCATGCAAGTCAGCACAAATATGACAAAATCGCAGATCCAGACATAGAACAATACGTCAGGACAGGTCTGTCAGAGTGTATAATAGAGCTTGCTAACAAAGTCAGCCAATGAATAGGTAGAGCAACTAAATCAGCCAATGAGGATAGTTTGGAAACTGAAACTAAAAGTGGCCTCGGCGTGGCTCTGCAACTCTGCAGCTATGTTGAGCTCCGAGTCTGTCGATGGAAGATGAAACTAAATTGCTTGCTTGCTGAAGACTGGAGCTCTGCTCCGAACTTGCAACATGTTCCTGTTTGAGTTTGCTCCATGTTGGAGAAATCTACAACTAGTTTGTAAATTCTACTTATGTTTATGAAGATGTTAAACGAAGCATCAGCCACCTGTGTTTATTTTTGTGGCGCTGAATTATCGCTGCAAAACTTTCCATAAAAGGTCCAAGCCTGGGACTGGAGCCAGCTTTTCAGAGCTCTTCAGGAATCGTAGGATTCACCCACAAGTCCTTGGGGGTTTCTTTTAAACCAGCAGCAACCCTGACTGCTCTTGAGAAGGCCAGATCCTGAAGAGGAAACTCAAAGACTTTGGCCACCTCGTTAGAAGGAAGGACTCCCTGGAGAAGAAGAGCCGAATGCTGGGAACGATAGAGGGAAGAAGAAGAAGAAGAAGGAGAAGAAGGAGAAGAAGGAGAAGAAGGAGAAGGAGAAGGAGAAGGAGAAGGAGAAGAAGAAGAAGAAGAAGAAGAAGAAGAAGAAGAAGAAGAAGAAGAAGAAGAAGAAGAAGAAGAAGAAGAAGAAAAAAAAAAAAAAAGAGAAGGAGGGGGCTGGATGAGTCACTGAAGCAGTTGGCGTGAGCTTAAAGAGACTCCGGAGGATGGTAGAGGACAGGAAGGTTTGGAGGAACGTTGTCCATGGGGATCACGATGGCTCGGACACGACTTTCCAATTAACAACAACAACATTTTAATCTCTTAATTCGAGACGGTTAAGGGTGATGAGGCAGGACCGAGCCCTGTAGCCCCTCTGGCCACGTCGTTGGCTGAACCTCCACCTGGATGCCCAACTCACCTTGCACGTAGACCTGGGCCAAAGCCTCAGCGGAGCCCACCCGGTTGCTGACGTGACAGCGGTAGGTGCCGGAATCCTGGTGCCCGGCCGGGCTGAACTGCAAGACCCCGTCGCGCACCGTGGCCCGTCCGGGCAGGCTGCCGTTCACTTTGGTCCACTGGTAACGCAGGGGGGGCGTGCCGTGGGCCAGGCACTGCAGCTGCACTGCATCGCCCTCGTGCACCACTGCTCGGTTGGGAAGACTGGTGGCGTAGGGTGGTACTGGGCAGAGAAAGAGGAAGGAGAAAGAGGTTGGTGCAGGCACCCATCTCAGAGATTCCTTAGGAAGGCACTGATCTCTGTTTCATGGCGTTGGCCGGTCCATGGGTGCCAGGGGTCCATAGGGGGTGTGCCTGGCATTTCTTCCTCTTTCGCCCTCTTCCTCTCAACCCAAGGCCGTCCAGGGAGCAGCGCACCACCTGCCTGTGCCCCATCCCTCCCCCTCCTCCTGCTGGCGCACTCACTCTCCACGTCCAGCACCACGAAGGCTTCGGTGAACCCCGCAGAGTTGCTGGCGTTGCAGATGTACTGGCCCGAGTCCTGCTGGGCCACCCGGGGGATGATGAGGGTGTCGTTCACCACCTGATGCTGCCACGGCAACGGAGCCCGCAGCTTGGACCAGTGGATGGTGGGAGTCGGGTCCCCTGTCAATCCCAACAAAGGTAGTAGCGCTGAGCCTGGCTGGCCAGCAAGCCAGGTAGCCTTGGTCCAGAAGCCCCTAAGATGGTCCAGTCAGAGCCAAAGACCCTGCCCCCTCCGTGCACACGCCCCCTCGCGCACACCTGTAGCAGAGCAATGGAGCCGAGCCGTCTGTCCCGCCTGCACTGTCTGGGTGGGAGTCATGTGGATTTCGGGGACTCCTCTCCTGCCGTGTACCGCCTCCACGCTCACCTCCACCTGCGCCTCCGTGGTGCCCACCGAGTTCTGGGCCACACACACGTAGGTGCCGGCATCTCCCAGCTTTGCGGAGGAGATCTGGGGAGGGAGAGGAGGCCACGCAACACCCTCAGCCCGATTCCCACTCAAACGGAAGAATTAAGATATCCTTTAGGACAGGGGTCTCCAACCTTGGCAACTTGAAGCAAAGTTTTGCTGGAATGGGGAATTCTGGGAGTTGAAGTCCTCCAGGACTTCAAGTTGAACTCCTCCAAAGCTTGGCTGGCTGGGGAATTCTGGGAGTTGAAGTCCTCCAGGACTTCAAGTTGAAGTTCGCCAAAGCTTTGCTGGCTGGGGAATTCTGGGAGTTGAAGTCCTCCAGGACTTCAAGTT